CTAGCAAAAGCAGCAAAATACTAGCAAAAAGCTAAAAATACCAAAATTCTAGCAAAAGCAGCTAAATACTAGCAAAAAGCTTAAAAATGCCAAAATGCTAGCAGAAGCAGCAAAACATTAGCAAAATGCTAAAAATACCAAAATGCTAGCTCAAGGTTACCAGCAATTAAAAAAAAAACACAAATTAAAGCCTAAAAGCAGCAATACGTGAGCAAAAAATTGCAAGGTGGTAGCTTTATGCCATAAGTACCAAAACATCACCTAAAAGCTAAAAGGAGCTAATTACTAGATACACATTCAATGTAGCAGAATGTTAGTTAAAAGCTAAAAGTAACAACACGTTATTTGTAACAAAAAAGTTGGTAATAGTATTAATACACTAATAAAGGGTAAAAGTAAGAAAATGGAGTGGAACGCCTAAAAATAGCTTAAAGCTAATTAAAAGTAGCCAAACCTAGCTCAAAGTGAGCTGGCTTCTTGTTATTATTTTTTTAATGTCAAATGTCTCAGCTGCTGCGACACAACAGTTTACTGTAACTGGCTAATAAAGTACCAATCATATCACAAAAGTTAGCTAAATGCAAAAGGTTAGTTAAAACCTAAAATGAGCTAAATGCTAGCTAAAAGCTACATGTAGTTAAAGGTTAGCTAAATGTCAAAATACTTATTGTAGCAAAAAGGCAACAAAAAGTAACAAAAGGCTAGCTTGAAACTAAAAGTAGCAAAAGGCTTGCTTAAAAGTAAAAGTAGCTGAACAGTAGCTAAAAAGTAGTTAATGTACCTTGCTTTTTGTTCATCTTGTGTCAAATGTCACTACTGAAAAAAAGGTGGGCAAAAGTATTAATAGGCTAGCAAGAGGCTATAAGTCGCAAAAGGGGATTGAAACAACTAAATGTAGCTAAAAGCTAATTAAAAGTAGCTAGACTTAGCGCAAAGAAGCTCTAACAACATTTTCTGCAAGAGATGAATAAAGTACCGCTCTCATCCAAATAGTTCTTGTAAATGTAGCAAAAGACTAGCTAGAAATAAACGTAGCAGAACAGTGGCTAAAACATTAGCAGTAGCAATAGTGTTACCTTAAAGCTTCAAGTAGCTGAATGGAAGATGAATTAATGTAGAAGACGAGAAATAGAGCAAGTCTGCTGAAGTGGATTTCAAAAAGGATGTTTTTGAAATAAAGTAAAAGATCTTGAGGTGTTTCAATGGGGATATTATTTATGTATATCTAAAGGTAAATATGTCGGAAAGTATAAAAGTTACAAAAAGCAAAAGTCACAACACCCATCTCATGAATGAGCCGAAAATTTTGAAACGGGAAAGGATAAAATATGCGGTCGTAGTAAGATTACAAAACGTATGGACGAACATGGAACAGGACATCCGTGGTGTAAATGCTGAATCCGTGTTGATCCTCGTCTTTGGTGAAATCTTCCAGACCTCCTCTGTTTTTAACTAAAGTAAAATGTTGCAGTGAATTGAAACAAAGGAACACTTTCTGTTTGTGTGCAGGAGAGCTTGGCGGTGGTTTACGCCCCCAGCAGTCCAAGAGTCTACACAATCTACGAGCCAGTCATCAGACTGAAAGGTCAGACCAAGACCGTCGTCACCCAACGGCCCTTCAGCTCCAAAGAGGTCCAGAGTGTCTCTCTGGACCCCGGCGCTCTCAGAGCTCTGCTTCCCAGCCAAACCCACGGCCTGCAGAGCGTCCTGCACAAGATCGGAGGGACGGGAACCTTTGTCTTCCTCTTCGCACAGGTTGGATTATTTCATTCCCGGCGAAGCTTCGCGCTTACGAACCAGAAGTCGTCTTTTATCTTGCGTAGTTTTTTTATGAACTCCCGACGAGTAACGTCAGATTTTTAATGTGCTGTTTGCATAGTGGGAGCTAACTGTTGGGATCCATTTTTCTTTCATACGTTTTTCAGCGCAACTCTCATCCCACAGTTTTCAGCTATTTCAGCTAATCGTAAATCAAAACGTTCAGCTTTTTCAGGATGATCCTGTTATGACTTTTGGTATTGGTGCAACTTTAGCTTTTTGAAATATTTAGCCTTTTCTGCCACTTTTTTCTCATAGAAAATGAGTTGAGCTGATTTTACATCCTTCAAATCTTTAGATCTGTTTACAGCCTTTCACATTTTGTTCTGCTTCAGCTTCTTTCGGCTTCCTTGTGCAAATTTAAGAATTTTTCAGCTAATTCCAGCTGTTTTTTTAGCTGTTTTGTGCTCCTGTCAGATTCTTTCTGTTAGTTACAACATTTTTGTGCTTCTTCTTACTTCTTTCTGCTCATTTCAGCTTGTTACGCTCCTTTCAGCTTATTTCTGATAGTTTTAGCTTTTTCTACTATTTCAGCTACTATGTAGCTGATTTATGCTAATTTAAGCTTTTTCAGCTAATTCCACATTTTTTGCACTCATTTAAACTTTTTTCAGCCTAGTTCAGCAAAAATGTGCTCTCTCCACTTTGTTCTTGTAATTTCAGCTCCTTTCTGCGTTATTAGCTACTTTTCAGCCTTTTTTATTTATTTACTTAAACTTTTTTCAGATAATTTCCACTTTTTTGTTCTCAGTTCTGCTTCTTTCACCCTAATTGGGCAAACATATTCTTTCTGCATTCATCTGTTAATTTAAGCTTGTTCGACCTTTTCAGCTACATTTTTAGCTCATTTTAGCTGTTTTCAGATAAATTCAAGTTTTTCATGGTAATATCTGCTAATTTCAGCCTAATTAACATCTTTCTGCTAATTTCAGCTTGTTGTGCTCCTGAAAGTTTAATTTATGTCAACAAATATTTAGCTGTTTTATGCTAATGTTAGCTTTTTCAGCTAATTCCACAGTTATTGCACTCATTTCAACTTTTTTCAGCTTAATTCAGCAAAAATGTGCTCTCTCTCTCTACTTTTTAGGTAATTTCAGCTGTTTTTCAGCAAGTTCTTCATTAATAAGCATTCACACTGCATTTTCGCAGGAGATGTAATCTCTCTAGTTAATTTAATTTCACTCTTCATGCACCCGTTGAAAGGCGGTATTGGTAAACGGCGTGAGGCATATTCAGAAGGCAGTTTCATGAAATGGCCACACAGGCCGGTCCAACTTTAAGCTTCCTCCAGAGACGTGGAGCCGAACTCCGCTTGGCTGAAAGTGTCGGACGTCTCCCTCGTGTCGTTTACTAAACATAATGAATTAACTCACACTGGCGATCCTTTTTGTGGCTGACTGTTTTTTTTAAACTACAAAGTTGCTGTGCGTCATCGTCAACGTTCTCTTGCGAACAAATCTGTTGTTTAATCCCTCGTCATCAGTTTGTCGCCTCGCCGACGGGCCCCTTCTCTTTTGTTTTTATTTACGTACGCTTGGGTCCATTTTTTGAAAGCACAGAATTTATTTTCGCTTGTATGCAGATGATTGTCACGTTTATGTCCCTCTTAAGAAGGACTAATTTTGTCTCGAGGACTTTAGGACCTGGATGGCTCCAAACCTCTTACATTTGTTATACACACCCCGTGTGGTACATGTGGTGGAACGAGATTATGTACACAGTGTCCCAGTTGCATCCAACAATAAAATGTAAAAGAAAAACAGTAATAAGATCTAAGATATGAACTAAGAAAAACATCAGCTAAATATTCACTAAGCACTCATAACATAAAAACACTAGTCGAACAGCAGCACGGACATGAGTCTGAGCAGATGAGCACACATATTTATTTATTATACTTTATATTTTGGGGTTTTTTCTTGAACTTTTTTGAATTTACAATGTCCTGGATGACTGAGAATCTTCACCAGCTATTAATGACACAGTCGGCCTGCCATATTGCCCCCACCTTGGTTCTCCTCGCTGCTTGGAGCAACCATCAAGTGGACACTGATCTAAAATATGATCATCAAATCAGGGCCGTGGTTAAATCGAGCTTGTTTCAGTGAAGGCAGCTGTCTAACATCAAGCTATTTCTTACAAGAGCTATGTTCGAGATGTTAATCCACTCCTTCATCAAAGACGACCAGAACACAACTCGGTCCTGAACTGAGGCGTTTTGTGAATGAGGCGATGGGCTCCGTTCATACGTCAATAAACTTTCTTTTGTCCCGCCCAAAACTTCTTATCCTCTCTCAAGAGTGTCGTTCACTTTTCATCACCCCAGCTCAAAGGTCAAGATCGCAGATCAAGGTCAAATGTTATACAAGCTCTTTGCTTGTCTGGGCCATTGCTATAGAATGCTGTGTAGGAGTTTATAATGTTTGAACTTTTTTTTTTCTTCTTCCAGACGGTGGAGCTGAGTAACTGTGAGAAGACCCAGGCTCTGGCCCTCCAAGTGCTGCTCTCTCTGTGCAAGCACAACCAGCACCGCATCCACGAAATGGACTGTTACCATGGTTACGCCATGATCCACCAGGTCCTCATCAAGTCCAAATGTACCGTAGGATACCATATGCTGAAAGTGAGTCACACCTGTAGGAACAGACCTACACGTTATTTTTCTCCCATTAACCGGACCCAGCTGGACTCGGTGGTTTCGGTGACCCGCTGTTCCCTCGCCCTCTAGCTGCGTCTGTAATGGAGCTGTGTGATGGTTCTGGGCTGAAATGGATTCTGTGTGAGTGGATGAAACTCTGAGCCCCTGCGGGGTTTCACCACAAGTCTGATTGCTCTTGACTGCTCTGCTCTTTAGACTTTTACTTCCTGTATCGTGAGTGCAGGTCCACTCTGGTTAACAAAGGGCCCCGCTGTGCCACTGTTGGCACGTTATATCACTGTTTAAAGCTATTGTATTCAATCTGCAAGTGATATTTGTGTTTATATCTTCATTAATGTAGCGCCTTACCCTCGTCATGCTGTTTAATTAGATGGGTTTAAGGCCGACGGCTCCTGTGTGGTACCTCAGAGACATAAAACACTGAAGACTTATGAGCACTGCAGTGAGCCGGTCGCAGATAATAGACTTTAATCGATAAAGACAAGGCTGCTCAGCAAGTAAATGTCATTCACTTTAATTGAAGGTCTTTGGTAATTTTATTGGTTTTCTTTGTCTTTCCTTCTGCATCTGTAAGTTCAGGAATGTGCCTGATTATGTGGAACAGCGACTCCTGAACTGGCTGTCCTTCTGTCTCTGTAGACTTTACTTGACGGGTGCTGCAGTGGGCCCATTCTCGTCCTGGGTGACGACGGTCAGTTTCGACTGGACGCCGAGTCGACCGCTGTGGTGCAGGACTTAAGGTTGCTCTCTGACATCCTGCTGGACTGGAAGATCTGGGCCAAAGCTGAGGTAAACCTGAAGTTCTTCCAGTTTCAGACCAGTTGTCGGTCTGTCGGCAGGTCTTTCTGGGTGTGTTTACTTGTGCGAGTACTGACTCTGCGTTGTTTACTGTGTACTTCATACTTTGTGCCTTTTTAGCTGTTCATATTAAAATGTTATCTCGTTCAGGAGATGGGCCGTATGTCTTTTAGTTTATGTAACTGTTGTATTTTTAAACATTTTAATTTTCAATCATTGCTCCCAGTAAAACACTTTTTTTAAATATAAATGTTCTGTTTGTAATCTGCTTTAGCTACTTGGCTCTAATTTTGTCTTCTTATGCTACTTTTAATTTTTAGGTACTTTTCTGCTACATTTTTTTTTTAGCTACCATTATAATTAAATTTTTCATCTGCTACATTTAGCTTGTTGCTTCTATTCTACTTTTACCTTCTAGCTACTATTCTGCTAATTTTAGCTTCTTGCTGCTTTGCTGCTTCATTTAGCTTTTTGCTGCTATTCTCCTACTTTTACCTTCTAGATGTTATTCTGCTAATTTTAGTGTTTTAATGATAATCTGCTCATTTTTAAGCTTATTGCTATTTTGCTGCTACAATTAGCTTTTTGATACTATTCTCCTACTGTTACCTTCTAGCTACTATTCTGCTCATTTCAGCTCATTGCTACTTTGCTGCTACAATTAGCTATTTGCTGCTACATTTAGCTTTTTGCTGCTATTTTACTACTATTACCTTCTAACTATTATTCTTCTTATGTAGCTTCTTGCTACTTTGCTGCTACATTTAGCTTTTGCTACTTTTCTCCTACTTTTACCTTCTAGCTACTATTATGCTATTTTATTTTGCTGCTACATTTAGCTTTTTGCTACTTTTCTCCTACTTTAACCTTCTAGCTACTATTCTACTTATGGAGCTTCTTGCTACTTTGCTGCTACATTTAGCTTTTTGCTACTTTTCTCCTGCCTTTACCTTCTACCTACTATTCTGCTTATGTAGCTTCTTGCTATTTTGCTGCTACATTTAGCTTTTTGCTACTATTCTCTTTTACCTTATAGCTACTATTATGCTATTTTTAGCTTCTTGCTATTTTGCTGCTACATTTAGCTTTTTGCTACTTCTCTCCTACCTTTACCTTCTACCTACTATTCTGCTTATCTAGCTTCTTGCTATTTTGCTGCTACATTTAGCTTTTTGCTAGTTTTCTCCTACTTTTACCTTATAGCTACTATTCTGCTATTTTTAGCTTCTTGCTATCCTTTTGATAATTTTACCTTCTAGCTAGTCTTTTATTACATTTAGCTAGCATTTGAAACATTTTAGCTTTTAGCTAGCCTTTTGCTACTTTTAGGTTTTAGCTAGCTTTTAATATGTATGGCTGTTGGCTAGCACTTTGGTACATTTAGCTTATAGGTAGCCTTTTAATACTTTTGGAATTTAGCTATAATTTAGCTATTTAATTTTTATTTTGTTTTATTTAGCTTTTGGCTTCTGTTTTGCTACTTTTGCCTTTTCATTAATATTTTCACTTTCTTTAGCTTTAACTGTTCTGCCCCTTTTAGCTTTGACGACTGAGCTTTAGCGTCTTCAGCAGCTTTCAGCGCTCGGTGTTCACGCTGAGTTTACAGACAACCTAACCTTTTGATGTTTTTGTGTTTGTGTTGTCAGTGTGGCGTGTGGGAAACGCTCCTCGCTGCTTTAGAGATCCTCATCAGGATGCAGCACCCCCACCAGGTGTACAATATCCGGCAGTTCCTGAATGCTGAATTAGTGCATCGTTTCCTGCTCACCTGCCAGGTGCTACAAGTAGGTCTTTGTAATAACGCTCCAGTTGTAGTGCTTCTCTTCAAACCCCCCCCCCCCCCCCCACCACCCACCCACCCAAAACCCCACACTCCTCTCAAGGAGCATCGAGACGAGCATCTAACAGCCATCCCTCCAGAGGTGTGCCTGTCCTTCATCAAGATCATCCAGGAGGTGCTGGGATCTCCTCCGGACATGGATCTGCTAAAACTCATCTGCAACTTCCTGCTGGCCGTCCACCCGCCTACCAACACCTACGTCTGCCACACTCCATCCAGCTTCTACTTTTCACTCCACACAGGTGAGGGAGCAGCTGCACACGGCGCCTCTGGATCAAAGTGCCATCGCCGTAATGCGCCGAGTTCTTTTGATGTCTTTGTTTGTCAGATGGGAAGCTGTACCAGGAGAAGGTGCAGTCCATTATGTACTTGAGACAGCACTCCAACAGCGGAGGAAGGTCTGCCAGCAGCTCCGTGGTGTCCCTCTCCCCGACTGTTTTTGCCGATGCCCCTCATGAAGGTACGTCAGCTGCAGGAGTGACACCCGGCACCAAAGAAGAAAAATACACACAGCTGCCATCAGAAGTCTGCTTACACTCATCATGGCATGAGTGTCTTTAAATCTGGTTAATGGTTTATTTAAACCATTCTTCTCCCAGGTGATTAAATGTTAGTAATAAGAATAAGGTGCACAAATTAGCACTTTTGTTTTTCTAATCCACACAAGCTTAAGAGCTACAAGCTTTTTGTGTCCATCAAAATGCTTGGCTGAGGTTGAACTGCTCTTTGTGGCATAACTGGTAGAGTTCATTTATAGTAGTTGGCTTCTTTGGGTGGTGGCTCAGTTGGTAGAACTGTTGCCTCTCGACGAGAAGGTTGCCGGCTCGAGTCCCAGCTGGGGGCCTTTCTGGGTGGAGTTTGCATGTTCTCTCCGTGCATGCGTGGATTTTCTCCGGGTACTCTGGTTCCCACAGACCAAAAACATGCATGTTAAACTGATTGGTAACTCTAAATTGTCTCTAGGCGAGAGAGAGGGTGAATGATTGTTTGTGTTGTTTGTCTCTTTGTGTCCCTGTGATGGACTTGCGACCTGTCTAGGGTGTCCCTGTCCCCCGCCTCTCACACAGTCTGCTTGATATGGACACCAGTGACCCCTGCAACCCGGAAATGAAGAAGCGGGTAAAAGATAATGGATGGATGGTTCATTGGTTGGCTCGTTTGTTGGTTGGTTGGTTTGTTGGTTGGTTTGTTTGTTGGTTGGTTGGATGGTTCCAATCAGAAACCAGTTTTGACGTGATTTTGGGCTGATTTTTGTTGTTGGAACACTCAGTTGTATCTGAGCTACCTCTACCACATCATGATGCTGCCACTACCATGTTTGACAGCTGGTTCATTGTTCTTAACTTTGAAAGTCTCAGCTTCACTGAAACGTTTTGTCTTCATGGCCAAACGGTTCAATCTTTGTCACATCAGGCCATAAAGTTTTTTTTCCAGAAAATATATCTCGTCCATTGAATTTGAAAGCGTCTCTTTTGGAGGAGGGCCGTGTTTCCCGGTCGTCACCCTCTCAGTCCACAAAGATGTAAAACTGGCTTCACTGCTCCTTCGGTCTGGGGGGGTCAAATGAGCATCGATCAGACCATTCAGTGCTGTCGAACAAATCCTTTTATCCCAGCACGGAGAATCTACCAGCTTCAGTCAGTCGTGCTCACTAAGGAGAAGTTAACACAGAATTTTAAAGATTTTAATGAATGTGTGTGTGTAGTTATGGAAAAACCACAAATAATTGAACTTAAAAAAAATGACTGAAGTCTTTTATTGTAAAATCATTGCCCCCTGGAAGGAGAACCATTTAAAATAAAACCATTAAAAGCCCAAATTAAAGTAACATTCATGATGAGCGTGTGTTGACGTCCTCTCAGGTTCAGCTGACTAATTAAATTTAATTCCAGGTCTTGGGCATGTATTGGGTGATAATTCTGAACACATGATTAGTTTTACAGAATTTCTAAAGTTTAAAGAAATTCAAACAGACTTTTTTTGTTTTCCAGGCCATCAGCACGCTCCGTCCCCTGAACATGGAGGAGACGATCAGTCGTTACGCCCCCCTAGTCTGGCTCCGTCCCCGTACTCCTCTCCTCTGCTGACCCCTCGGCTCGGACACGGCAGCTCGAGCGAAGCGGCTGAAGGAGACGGGGTCTCCCTGACCTCTCAGAAAACGCTCAGCAGCACGGACACTCTGAGGAAGGCCGGAGGTGACGAGCATCTCCTGAGCAGCTGCGAATCAGCCAAGACGATCTGTGACCCTAAGGACACAGCAGAGGGGGCTGCGCCGCGCACCCCGTCCATCAGCGTGGAGGAGGACCGAGACGAGGCGGCTGAAGTGGACAGTCTGGCAGAGGGCAGCATGGGGGGCACGGAGTCTGAAGACAGGTTTGATTGGGCCAGCGATGAGGCGCCTCGCCGCCCCGACAGCCTCAAGGGCATCCAGTCCTTCCAGAGGAGCCACAGCAACCTGGCCAGCCTGGGGCTCGCCTTCCCGTTTCCTAACGGTTCGTTGGCGGGCGCCCGCTGGCCCGGCTCAGCCGACCGAGGCTCCGTGCCTGAAGACTGGGAGAGCTACACCTACTCTCCGGCCTACGAGAGGACGCACAGCAAGACAGAGTCCAACGACAGGTGCACACGAAACCCATCATGTTGTTTCTGAGTTGTGTTTAACAAGTCACAGTAGAACTTACTGAAACATCTAAACGTTGTGCCTCTCAGGTCCAGTACAGAGGACTGCTTGGTGCTGGTGTGCCGCGGACTCTACGATCTTCTGAGGGGCGTCCTGTTGCTGTTGCCTGACCTCATGCTGGAGGAGGTCATGGACAAGCTCGTCCAGCCGGAGGCTCTGGTGGTCCTCGTCAATCACTCTTCACCTCTCATCCAGCAGGGAGTCATGAAGGTTGGCTTCTTCTCTGTCGAGTCTTTAAACTTAAAAAAGGCAGAAAGATCTCGTTTTTCAGTCAGTTTTCCTGGATCGGTGTCTGCACGACGCACGTTTAGCTCAGTAAAATCCCCACAATTGATTCCAACACATTTGACAGTGATGTGAAAAAGTGTTTCCTGATTTCTTTTTTTTTTTCCATGTTCGTCACTTAAATGTTTTAGATCATCAAACAAATTTAGATATCAGACAAAGATAACTCAAGTAAACACATACAGTTTTAAAATAAAGGCCTTTAATATAAAGACCCAATTACTGCCAAGAGCGTAGCGACGACTCATCCAAGAGGTCAAACGAGACGTCACAACAACATCCAAACAACTGCAGGCCTCAGTTAGTGTTCATGATTCCTCCATAAGAAAGAGTCTGGGGAAAAAATGGCCAGCATGGCAGATTTACGAGACGAAAACCACCGCTGAGCAAAAATAACATAAAGACTCATCTCAGTTTTGCCAGAAAACAGCTTGATGATCCCCAAGACTTTTGGAAAATCCTCTGTGGACTGACGAGACAAACGTTGAACTGTTTGGAAGTTGTGTGTCCCGTTACATGTGCCATAAAAGTAACAGCATTTTATAAAAGGAACATCAGACCAACAGTGAAGCATGGCGGTAGTAGTGTGATGGTCTCGGACTGTTTTGCTGCTTTGGGATCTGGAAGACTTGCTGTGGTAAGTGGGACCACGGATTCTGCCGTTTACCAAAAAATCCTGAAGGAGAAAGTCCGGACGTCTGTTCGCGACCACACGGGTTCTTCAGAAGGACAATGATCCAAAACACACCAGCAAGTCCACGTCTGAATGGCTTAAAAAAAAAAGAAGACTTTTTGTCGTTTGTTTATTTGTCATATGCAGATCAACACAAGGTCAACAATACAATGAAATACTCGGGACGAGAAGAACCATCTCAACTCTCCCAAAAAAATAAAAAAAAGAAGAAATACCAAAGTTTGCAACAAAAATACAAAAACAAAAGTGTCAAAAGTGAAAAAGAAATGCATCTACAGCAGCACAGTCCTATTAGCAACATGGTCCCGTTAGCAGCATGGTACTGATGGAACATAGTACTTTGGAGTAGTCCTGACCTGAATCAGATTGAGATGTTGTGGCATGACCTCTAAAAGGTGGTTCAAGCTCAGAAACCGTCCAACGTGGCTGAACTACGACATTTCTCCAAAAAAGAATGGGCCACAATTCCTCCACAGCGCTGCAAAGATCTCGTTGGCAGTTAAACGCTTGACTCTAGTTGTTGCTGCTAATTGTTGCCCAACCAGTTATTGGGTTTAGGGGCAACCACATTTTTACAAAATAGGTTTGGACCCCCCCCCCCTCCCCCAATAAAGACCTTGATTTAAAAAACCATTTTGTGTTTACGTGTGTTATCTTTGTCTAATATTTAATATTTATTTCATGATAAGAAACATTTAAGTGTGACAATAGAAGTCGACTTGGGAAACATGTTAACATGTTTATATGAGGACAGATAGCAGGGCTAGATCCAGAACCAGGACTGAGTTTTCTGAGCCGGGCTCTGTGGGTGCAGGTGGGTCGTAAACGAGGCCACAGACGTGAACTCCCGGGCTCCAACGTTTGTTCTGATTCTCTGTCCCAGCTGCTGGACGCGTATTTCAGCAGAGCTCTGAAGGAGCAGAAGGAGAAGTTTCTGAAGAACCACGGCTTCTCGCTGCTGGCTAACCAGCTGTACATCCACCAAGGCAGCCAGGGGCTCCTCGAGTGCTTCCTGGAGATGCTGTTCGGAAGGCCCATGAGCCTGGATGAAGAGTGAGTCCAGACACAAGCAGGGATGTGTAAAGTACCTGCTTCGAATCAACGTTACGAGTCTAGCACAAAGCATTTTTCTCTTGTTTCTCTCCAGTCTGGACCTGGAGGAAATGGAAAACATCTCGCCCTTCAGAAAGCGCTGCATCATCCCGGTGCTGGGTCTTATCGAGAACTCCCTCTACGAGAACTCCTTGGTGCACAACATCCTCTGCATGCTGCTGCAGCTCGTCAACGCCGGCCCCAAGCTGGCTGACATCCTGCTGGACCACGGGCTGCTCTACGTGCTCTTCAACACCCTCTCCACCCTGAACGGCATGGAGAACTGGTACGTCCGCCAACAGGAAGCAGTTCATTCAAACACCGCCAGTAGTTTTGGTTTCAAGCTGCTGGATTAAAAAAGAAACAATTAATCCTCTTCCTTTCGGCTGATAGACTTCTCATTATTCTTTTTGTTGTTCTCTGCAGCATTCCCCTGAACGACTACAAGCTCCTGGTGTGTGACGTTCAGCAGATGTTAGTGGCTGTGACTATCCACTCCTGCAGCTCCTCAGGGTCCCAATACTTCCGCATCATCGAAGACCTCATTACTTTGCTGGGATTCATGCAAACCAGCAAGATGCGGCGCACGCAGGGTGAGGACTGGAGTCCTGAAATGCAACACACACAAATGACGCGTCGCAGCGACGAGCTCTGCGCCAGGAAAATAACAACGTGGCTTTTATTATTTACAACTTGGAGGGAAAAATATTTTACGTCTTAAGTTCCTTTTTCTTTTTTCAGCTTTCTTGTAGATCTGCTGTTTATAAAAATATGAGATTAAATTATTGTTTTTACATGCTCGGTCATCCAGGTCATGACTAATTTAAAAAAAAAAAAAGGTTAAAAACAGCCGGACTTCTGTTCTGAAGATGAAGACGTTTCACTTCCTATCCGGAAGGATTTATCACTTCTAAATGTCTGCAGTTTGTGGAGTTCACAGCTTTAAAGATCTGCATGAGAGGCTGTGTTCTTAGCTTCAGCTGCAGGTTAGACTGGAACTACTCGCCCTCACAGTGCAGTCTCGGTCGGCTCTTTGTCTGCCTGGCTCCCAGAGAGCCGGGGGCAGTGGAGCTGACCTGGGATCAGGCCTGATGCTGCATTGTGTTTTTGAATGTTGAAATCTGAGACCTCCTCCTCTGTTTAAAGTTGTTGTTTTTATTTCCTCGTAAACGGCTTCACTCCCCCCTCAGACCGTTGTTACTGCGTTTACAGAAACAGCAGTTTTATCGTTCCCCCGTTGCGGAGTGATGAGGAGGAGTTGGAAATAAATCTCCGTTCGCGCACGCTAACTTGAAAAATAAGTGAGGTAGCGACTTCCATTTTGGTTTGTGGCTACAGCTAAGCAAAAAAAACAAAAACAATCACTATTAAAAAAAAAAAAAGGGTTGCCACGTTGAAATTATGTGCGTGTGTGAACGGCCACCCCAATCATTGGAGGAAGTTCTGCTTTCTAGTTTCTATATTGCTCATACGTCGGGGAAACTAAACAGCCACTGGCTAAAAGGATGGACCAGCACAGAAGATCAACATCATCAGACCAGGACTCTGCGGTCTACACTCATCTCCAGGCCAGAGGTCACTCGTTCAGGGATGAAGATGTTCACATCCTGGACAGAGAGGAACGATGGTTTGAGAGAGGAGTGAAGGAGTCCATCATTAAACTGGTGGAGGCTGTGGAGGACGGAATGTGACAAAATTAAACAAATAAAAACATAATAATGAAATGAATCATTTAATTATTAAATACAGCATTAAACATGCAATTATTTATTTAATAATTTATTCAATTATTTAATTTTGTCACATTCCACCCTCGTGCGTCACCATAAAACTGTTAACTGTCAGTCTCACTCATCAAACTCAGTGGGCGGGACTAACGTGAGCATGTGAAATCCTAAAACGTTCGATAAGCCGTAAGTGTTTCACGAGCATTATTAATATAATACTTCGTACCTTGCACACAGGCCGGGGTTTGCGATCCACACTGCTGCATTGTGCCGTAGGTCCAACTCTGTGGAGCCTCAGTGTTTCTTAGTTTAAATTTGCTGCTTCTCATAAAAGCGCGTCTTCTTCTTTACAATTATAGTATGAAAAAAGGTTCCATCTAAAAGCACGTAAACACATTTACCGCTTCCTAAAGTTTTGGAATACATTTTCTGGCCTGTGGATCAGTCGATTATCTGTGGTCGATTTGTCTTCGCTCGCTGTGAGGAGCAGCCAGTCAGGTGTTGGGGTTAGCCCCGCCCACTGAGTTTGACGAGTGAGGTTGACAGTTCGCATAATTTCTTGGTGTCACTGGAGGGTGGAAGGTGACAAAATTAAATAAATAAATCATGAAATAAATAATTTAAAAGGTACATTTAATGATCTAATGATGTATTTAATAATTAAAATGATACATTTAATTGTTATGTTTGTATTATATATTTCATTTTGTCACATTTCATCCTCCATAGCAGACCTCCATGTTCACCTGTCCCCCTCTTACAAAGCTGTTATTGCTAGTATCACTCAGCCATCAGGGCACTAACGATCAATTGTTAGGCTCGTGGTCCTTTATCATGTGAACAGCTAGTTCTGGATTTCAGCAGCAAACTGGTTGATCCGCTATGAGAAGGTGTTAGTTTTCTGCAGCTCCTCAAACTGAAGAAGTCTTTTGGATAAAAGACGAAACATTTCAACAAACAAGAATCTGTCCAGATGACCTGACTTAACCTTGTTAGATTTATCTACCTGGATTATTGAGCAGCATCCGGACTTTTCCTACATAATGTTTTTTTCTGCACCAAGTGGGCAGGAGTAACACGGTTTAGAAAAACAGGTAGGGTTTTTTTTTGTTTTGAGGCTGATGACGGTGGTCATCGGTCATCAATGTAAACGCAGAGAAGACCTTGACTGGTGTCTTAAACTTCAAAGATGCTAAAAGGATGACTTTAAGAATTAAAAATAAATATCCTGAACAATCTTATTGTCTCCGTGCAGAAATGGCCGTGGCCCTGCAGTTCCGAGTCCTCCAATCAGCCGTTGAGTTCATAAAGACGACGGCTAACCAGGAGCCTCAGAAGCCGAGCAGTTCCGTCAACGCGCCGAGCTCCCCGCACCACGCCATCTATCAGAAGCGTAAGAGCATCGCAGGTGAGTTCTGCGAACCGGAGCGGTTCTGCCCGGCCCGAGCGTCACGGTTCATTCATCCTGTCCTCGTCCTGACCTGAAGGTTCCGTTGCCGTGAAAGACTCCATTATCCCCCGCATCCCCAGACAGCACTTCTGCTCCTACGGTCAGATCCCCGCGGTCTCTCCCTTCAGCTTCCTGTCCCAGGTCTCCCCCCTCCCCTCCCCCAGCGGCGCTCCATCCTACACGCTCCACTGTGACGCAGGTAGCTGGGACCTTCCTCCCACGCCATGGGGAATGTCTCCCGTCTTTGCAGTGAACTCCTCTCTTCCCCCCCCCCGACGCTCGCCTCGGGGGTTAATTTGCCCGGTACGCCTTGAGCGCTGCCGGTGCTTCTGTGTGTGAACACCCGAATGCTTACCTGAGTCAGGGTGAAGCATTCCAGCTCAGTTTTTAATCCTCATAAGCATTTCTTTACAAAATAAACTGCAAATATTAGAAACTAATTATTCATAACCCTTGAATTTTTCCACACGTCATGTCTTAACCAGAAACGTTTAGGATTTTATGTGATGGACCATAAATATCCTTTGATTTAAACCGTTCTTTTAACGCTCTGTATGTTGAAATAATAATCCACCTGCTTGATAACAGTTTAATTAGTTTAACTTCCACTTATGACTGGATACAAAGCTCGAATAATGCAGCTTAATTCAATTCAGTTTATTTATATAGCACCATATCACAACAAAGTTGTCTCAGGGAACTTTACAGGAACATTCACATAAAAGCCAATTTAGTAAAGTTCTCTAAGGAATCCAGCAGACAAGTTGAATCTTGGCTTCGTCACAGTCTCCCATCCTGAGCAAGCACAGTGGCAACAGTGGAAAGGAAAAACTCTTTTTAAAGGAAGAAACCTCCAGCAGAACCAGGCTCGGGACAAGCGCCATCTGCTTTGACCGGCTGGTTGAGAGAACAGGAAGGAGAGACAGACGAACATAGAATGGTAGGTCCAGGTATAGGTGCAGGTGTATCTGAAAGACAAAAAAAACACGTTAAGATAGAAAAAAATAATTACAAATACAAATACAAAACAGGTTGAGTAGAGTAAGTAAAGACAGTAGCAGAGTGAAAAGATGTGGTCAGTTTGTCCTCCAGCAGTCTAAGCCTATAGCAGCATAACTAAGGGACACCTCAGGAAACCCAAGCCGACCCTAACTATAGGATTTATCAAAAAGGAACGTCTTAAGCCTAGTTTTAAAACTGGATAATGTGTCAGCCTCACGGACAGAGATTGGAAGTTGGTTCCACAAGAGAGGAGCCTGATAACTGAAAGATCTGCCTCCTGTTCTGTTTTTGGAAACTCTAGGAACTGTGAGTAAACCTGCAGTCTGAGAGCCAAGTGCTGTGTTAGTAAAATATAGAACAATAAGATCTGTAATATAAGATGGTGCTAGGTTGTTGAGGGCTTTGTAGGTTAGAAGTAGGATTTTGAATTCTATTTTGGATTTGACAGGGAGCCAATTAGAACTTAATGATAGACAAACGTGACATGTGAGAAATATCTTCTCAGAGAAGACACGTCAGGCCACTGGAGGAGTCTTTAGTTCAATCTGGTGAACCTCGATTCGTGTTTTTAATATACTTTGCTGACTGACGATGACAGGAGGTAAATATTTGTGTGACCAGTCATAATTTTAGGACACTTCAAAGCAACGCTGCACTCACTTCTGAGTCAATTTTTTAGCAAACACAACCGTTGTATTTTTTTCCACATTCTGATGATGGATTAAACGTAGCTCAAATCTTGGGTTATTGTTTTAACCTAACCCTGCTTTAAACTTCATAGAGCAGTCTAGTGTGCTCCTTGGCCTTCATGATGCTGTTTAATGACTAATGTTCTGTAACCGACCTCTGAGTATCAGAGGATCAATACTCTCCGGTCTGACTCATAAAATCTCAGTGAAGTGTGGAAAGATCTGGAGGTGAATACTTCTCCAAGTAGTCGTGCACACCATCAACTGATGTTCTGCTTGTAGGCCGGCGCCGGTTCTCTCTGGCCCAGACCGACTCCCTCCTGATGCGGATGCGTTCTGTCGCCAGCGATGAGCTTCACCAGATGATGCAGAGGAGGATGAGCCAGGAGAACCCCATCCGCGCCAGTGAAACGGAGTTCGTCCAGCGGCTGCAGAGGCTGGTGGTGCTCGCCGTCAACAGACTCATTTACTACGGTGAATATTATATACACACACACACACACACACACACACGAGTTGTTGCCTCTCATCTTCACAGTCTGACCCCAGTTCTGTTTAAACGCATCTTTCAGACGTGAGCGAGGATTTATTCGACCTGCTGAACATCCCGGACTCTCCGGACCACCAGCCCTTCACGCCCGAGCCCGGCGATCAACCTCACGACGAGAGTTCTTCCTCCTCGGTCCCACACTCTCCGATTCCCTTCACCCTGCCGCCCGCCAACAAGAAGAGCTTTCAGAAAGACATCCTTAAACTCATGATGGACGGGATCAAAGTCAGCCTGGTATTAAACACTCCTGACAAATCTACACGTCTCCAAGCCGGCCGTGTGTCTCGACTAAGCTGGTTCTGGTGTTGTGGGCCCACAGGGCAGCACAGGTCGTGGTGGAGCTCCGAACCATCAGTGGAGGAGAATCCTGTGGTCCTGTCGGGACACCTTCAGGGTCCAAATAGGTCGTCTTCTGGTGCACACGCTCAGCCCCGCGCTGCCTCTGAGCGACAGGAAGGAGGCGCTCGAGTTTGTGTTCGATCCTAAACACATGGATATCCTGAAGGAGAGCCTCAGCCCCGGTCTGGAGGTGAATCTAAAAGTTATTCTGGAATTTATATATTGTTTTTGATGCATGCAGTCTGTCTCTGTGTGTTGTGCAGATTATTTGCTTGTATAGACCTGGGAGTCTTCATTATCACCCAAAAGGAATGGCAAAGGCACACGATAATATTTGTTCTCCTGTATCTGTCTGTTACCAAAACATCTCAAGAACCACTGGATGAATATTAAAGAAACTTGAAGAATAAAAAAAACTGGATGAGCCTCTCCTGCTGAACACCTGTAGAATCAACCCCAATTTTAATTGTCTTAATTTCTTTATCCTTTATTTAACCCCATGATAAATCCCATTTAGATCCCTGATCTCTTTTTCAAGGGAGGTGTTGGATAAAATAAATATCCTTTCATCATCTGTTTACTCAAATAAGCCACTCTGAATACGAGAACACGAGAAGATATTTAGACCGGTCTTTACTTGCAAGAGTAGATGGTAATCAGGAAGCTTTTACTGATGTACAAACATTACATGCTTTTAGCCTCATCAGTGAGAATCTGTGCCAGACAGTGAGGCAGGAAATGCTTTAATACAACAGAGGCAAGGTCAAGACAACCTCGGCTTTCCAGCTTACAGACTATCTGAGGAAGCCGGAGAAAACCCACGCAGAACGCAAGGAGAACATGCAACCTAATCCTAATCCAGGGCTTAAACCTAAAGGCTGCTACATACTCGGGCATACTTCACTTTGCAGAGGTCCGCGCGTACCCGATTAGATTTGACGCGGATGTCCGCAAGCCATGTCCACGCAAAGATCAATGTGCGCAGTGACCGCATGGCTCACGGAGTACACACAGTACGCCAGAGTATGTGGGAGCTTTAAGACCACCTTGATGTGAGACAAAAGTGCTGACCACTAATTTATCATGGTGCCCAATTTAAGATGACTGCCACGGCCAATTGACCTTGAAAAGCAACTATAACTCAGTTGTCCCCCGTTAGAGCGAATAGGGGACTTGGAAATATCGTCTGTCCGTTCATCTTGTAAGCTGGGTAACATGAAAAACCAGTGAGTGACTTCCTTTTTGGTGTGTGGCTGCAGCTAAGCATAAGAAAGGTCCCTATTGAAAATTAGGTTTACACGTCAAAATCCAAGATGGCCACCGCCATCCATCCATCCAAACATATATATATATACATATATATATTCCCATGGGCTCACCACCTGTGGGAGGGGCCAAAGGGGTCGGGTGCAATGTGTGATGGGTGGTGGCCGAGGGTGGGGACCCTGGTGGTCTGATCCTCAGCTACAGAAGCTGGCTATTGGGACGTGGAATGTCACCTCTCTGGTGGGGAAGGAGCCTGAGCTGGTGTGTGAGGTTGAGAGGTTCCGGCTAGAAATAGTCGGCCTCACCTCAACACATGCCTCTGGCTCTGGAACCAGTTTCCTTGAGAGGGGTTGGACACTCTTCCACTCTGGAGTTGCCCCTGGCGAGAGGCACAGAGCAGGAGTGGGCATACTTGTATCCCCCCCGTCTTGGTGCCTGTACGTTGGGGTTCACCCCGGTGAACGAGAGGGTAGCCTTCCTCCACCTACGTGTGGGGGGACGGGTTCTGACTGTTGTTTGTGTTTATGTACCAAACAGCAGCTCAGATTACCCACCCTTTTTGGAGTCCTTAGAGGGTGTACTGGAGAGTGCGCCTCCTGGGGGCTCCCTTGTTCTACTGGGGGACTTCAACGCTCACGTGGGCAATGACAGTGAGACCTAGAGTGGTGTGGTTAGGAGGAATAGCCCCCCTGATCTGAAACCGAGTGGTGTTCTGTTGTTGGACTTCTGTGCTCGTCATGGATTGTCCATAACGAACACCCATGTTCAAGCATAAGGGTGTCCATATGTGCTCTTGGCACCAAGACACCCTAGGCCGCAGTTTGATGATCGACTTTGTTGTCATCTCATCTGATCTGCGGCCGCATGTCTTGGACACTTGGGTGAAGAGAGGGGCGGAGCTGTCCACTGACCACTACCTGGTGGTGAGTCGCTCCAATGGTGGGGAGGATGCCGGTCAGACCTGGCAGACCCAAACATATTGTGAGGGTCTGCTGGGAACGTCTGGCAGTCTCCCATGAGATGGAGATTTAACTCACACCTCCGGGAGAGCTGTGAACACATTCCGGGGGAGGCGGGGGACATTGAGTCTGAGTGGGCCGTGTTCCACGCCTCTATTGTCTAGGCGGCTTATCGGAGCTGTGGCCGCAAAGTTGTCAGTGCCTGTCGCTGCAGTAACAATCAAACCCGGTGGTGGACATCGGCGATGAGGGATGCTGTCAGGCTGAAGAAGGAGTCCTATCAGGCCTTTTTGGCCTGTGGGACCCTGGAAGCAGCTGATGGGTACCGGCAGTCCAAGCGACATGCGACTCGGATGGTCACTGAGGCAAAAACCCGGGCGTGGGAGGAGTTCAGAGAGGCCATGGAGAATGACTTCCGTACAGCTTCGAGGTGATTCTGGTCCATCATCTGGCATCTCGGGGGGGTAAAACGGTATGCCACTAACACTATTTATAGTGGAGGTGGTATGCTACTGACCACAACTCGGGATGTCGTGGGTCGATGGGCGGAATACTTCGAAGACCTCTTCAATCCCACCGGCATGTCTTCCACTGAGGAAGCGGAGCCTGGGGACTTTTGGTTGGGCTCTCCAATCTTTGGTGCTGAGGTCACCGAGGTGGTTAAAAAGCTCCTCAGTGGCAAGGCCCCAGGGGTGGATGAGATTCGCCCTGAGTTCCTTAAGGCTCTGGATGTTGTGGGATTGTGTTGGCTTACACGACTTTGCAAAAATGCGTGGACATCATGGGCAGTTCCCCTGGATTGACAGACTGGGGTGGTGGTCCCCCTATTCAAAAAGGGGGACCGTAGAACGTGTTCCAACTACAGGGGGATCACGCTCTTAAGCCTCCCTGTTAAGGTCTAATCGGGGGTTCAGGAGAGGAGGGTCTGTCGGATAGTCGAACCTCGGATTCAGGAGGAGCAGTGCGGTTTTCGTCCTGGTTGTGGAACACTGGACCAGCTCTACACCCTCAGCAGGGTCCTAGAGGGTGCGTGGGAGTTTGCCCAACCAGTCTACATGTGCTTTGTGGACTTTGAGATGGCATTCGACCGCGCCCCTTGGGGAACCATGTGGGGGGTACTCCGGGAGTATGGGGTACCAGACCCTTTCATACGGGCTATTAGGTCCCTGCATGACCGGTGTCAGAGCTTGGTCCGCATTGCCGGCAGTAAGTCTGGCTTGTTCCCAGTGAGAGTTGGACTCCGCCAAGGTTGTCCTTTGTCACCAATTCTGTTCATAACTTTTATAGACAGAATTTCTAGGCACAGCCAAGTTGTTGAGAGGATCCATTTTGGTGGCCTTAGGATCACTTCTCTGTTTTTTGCAGATGATGTGGTTCTATTGGCTTCATCAAGTCGTGATCTACAACTTTCGCTGGAGCGGTTCGCAGCAGAGTGTGACGCAGCCGGGATGAGGATCAGTTCCTCCAAATCCGAGGCCATGGTCTTGAGCCGGAAAAGGGTAGAGTGCCCTCTCTGGGTTGGGGAGGAGGTCCTTCCCCAGGTGGAGGAGTTCAAGTATCTCGGGGTCTTGTTCATGAATGAGGGAAAAATGGAGCGTAAGATTGATAGGCAGATAGGTGCAGCGTCGGCAGTGAAGCGGGCGCTATACTGGTCTGTTGTGGTGAAGAGAGAGCTGAGTCAAAAGGCGAAGCTCTCAATTTACCGGTCGATCTACGTTCCTACCCTCATCTATGGTCATGAGCTTTGGGTTGTGGCCGAAAGAACGAGATCAAGGATACAAGCGGCCGAAATGAGTTTTCTCCGCAGGGTGTCTGGGCGCTCCCTTAGAGATAGGGTGAAAAGCTCGATCATCCGGGAGGGACTCAGAGTAGAGCCGCTACTTCTCCACGTTGAGAGGAGCCAGTTGTGGTGGCTCGGGCATCTGGTTAGGATGCCTCCTGGATGCCTCCCTGGTCAAGTGTTCTGGGCACATCCCACCGGGAGGAGACCCAGAGGAAGACCCAGGACACGCTGGAGGGACTATGTTTCTCGGTTGGCCTGGAAATGCCTTGGGATTCCCCCGGAGGAGCTGGCCCAAGTGGCTGGGGAGAGGGAAGTCTGGGCCTCCCTACTTAAGCTGCTACCCCTGCGACCCGACCCCGGATAAGCAGAAGAAAATGGATGGATATATATATATATATATATATATATAAATATATATATATTCCTCAAATGATTTGGGTGGCTGAGGATTAATGGGGGTGAACGCCACCTTTGGCAACCCCCTGGCTCTGTCTCTGCACCTGGTGGTGAATAAAGTTGCTCCCTCAACTCGCCAGGATCCGTCACACTGCGCTGCCTCAAACAAGAAAAATAGAAATAAAAACTCCCTCTGTTCTTCTCCACAGTGTAACTCCTACTCACGTGAATGTCTTGCACCAAAAACATTTAGGTTTACTTCATTCTTTTTTCAGTTTAATCCAGAAAAACACTCATCTCATAAACTACAAACATTCACTTTTCAAATCCCTCAGCGACAGGGCCGTGTGTTTTTACAGAAACTCAGCTAATATTTAGTGCAGCAACACTCTTACAGTGTTCCACGACTCTACGTGTAACTTAACACTCCTGCTTTGACGTGTTGTAGATGTTCGCTCTCTGCCTACCGTTTGTTTAATTTCTCTCTCCAATTCATTTTTTAAAATTCAGCACGGGCCAAAGTTGTCTCTGTACCTGTACAAGATGCTGCACGACCACAAGGACGAACTGACCAGAGAGGAGCAGAACGCCGTGGGCGCCTTCATGACCTCCCTGAAGCTGTGTGGCCATCGCTGCATCCCCCCCAACGCTCCGCACAAACAGGACCTGCTCAAGGCCATAAAGGAGGTCGGTCCCTCGTTTTGGAGAACACGGCCACAGATCGAGTCAAAGTCCATCACCGTGCTGTACCAGCTTAATTTATAAAGCCCTTAAAACAACAACAGAACGAAAACTAATGCAAAAACTAAAAACAAAGTGAAAACAAGCTTATAATAAAAACATAAAATCAAGTGAAACTAACTAAAAGGTAAACAGATTTTAAGAAGTGATCCAGAAACAGACAGGAAGACGTCCAAAGGCAGGTCGTTCCACATTTTTAGGAACTGCAGTAACTAAAGTATGATCCCTCAATACTTACCTGAGACGAGGTGAGGGAGCATAGGTGTGTAACGGTTCAGAGAGGGAGCCAGGGGTCTGCAACCTGCGGCTCTGGGACCACATGCGGCCCTTTAGTCCCTCTTTGGCGGCTCTCTGAAGCTTTCACCAAAACTTAATGAAATTTAATTGTATTGATTTTTATACACACAATAGAAAAGGTTAGTTTGGGCAGTTTTATTGTCAATTTTTTGTACATTTTTGCTCAGTAACTATTGTTAAGTTAAGAACTTTATTGATCCTGCAGGAAATTGTTGAAGTAGTAAATTTCTTTCGGCTGCTCCCTTCAGGAGTCACCACTCGCATGAAAGATTTGGCTATTTGTTTTACGCCGGATGTCCTTCCTGACGCAACCTGGGCTCGAACCCGCAACCTCAGGATTACAGGACCGTGGCACTGACCGCAGAGCTACCGCAGCCCCGCCCATTACTTATTATTCCTCACACAGGCCTGCAGAGTTCAGTGTTGTAATTTTTATCAAAATCGGTATAAACTATAATTATTTTCCTTCTTTACATGATATGATTTTTTTTTGTCTTAATGTAAAAATATCAATAAATTTAAAAATTCATTTATAAGTTTAGTTTTATAATGTTGCCCCCACTGGCCAGAAAAGTCTCCCTCCAACAAACTCGGTGGCCCATGGGCCATGAGTTGACAATCACAGCTGAAGCAGGTTTTGTGGCTCCAGACACGTTTTATTTAGCGAGTGAAGGAGCAGAAATGAAAGAGAGAGAGAGGTTGCAGACCTCTGGGCAAGGCCATTAAAGGCTTTAAACATACATTTATTAAATGAATTTTAAAACGTGCAGAGAGGCTAAAAAGAAAAAAAAATGGGGAACGTGCTCATTTTCTTGTGCCAGATACGTTTTGGACTCTGATGCATGTTAGAAGTTCTGAAGACTCGTGTCTAAGATCTGCGTAGAATCAAGATTTATAAAAGTTAAAATTTATAAATGTCAACAAAACAAGACGGATTAATAAATATTAATCTGAGAGAGCTCCAAAGATCAAACCAAATTAACTTAAAAACGCATAAATAAACAAAAACGCATATATTTGTTTTCACAGGAGAAACTGAAATATGAAGCAGAGGAGAAAACCAGTAAAGTGGCTTGGGAAAAGAAACTGGCCAACACTCAGAAGAAGTGAGTCGGTGCTTCTTCTTCTTCTTAATAAAAGAAAATCGAGGCAAGAACCGTGTTTTTGTGTAAAATCCTCCTTCTTTTCTTTCCCTCTTGCGGCTCAGTCTCATCCAGAGGCTGGACGGGAAGTCCAAAGACATTTCGAAGATTGCGGCGGACATCACTCAGAACGTGTCCCTGCGGCAGGGCATGGAGAGGAAGAAGGTGATCCAGCACATCAGGGGCCTTTACAAAACCGAACTGAGCGCCAGCCGCCACTGGCAAGAGCTGGTGCAACAACTCACACACGACCGGTGGGTGTGAACACGCACCTCTGGGCTCTAGTACTGTTACTTTTTAAAGTTGTCGAGTACTCTCTTCCTCTTGCCCTGGTAATGTTTTTATCGTAGCGTGAACATGTCCAGTATTGTAGTATCACTGAGTTCTGCTTCTACAGTGTACAGAGTACGCGTGTCCTTACTGACTGGCTCTGGTGGCTTTTTAATTTCTGAAGCTCCACAATATAATTAATTATTAGGAATGGTCGTGGTATACTTCCTGTCATCTCTGAATGAAAGCGACTGAAGCATCTCCTGGAGTTTCAGGATTTACTCGGGGAAAATTCAGGGGGTTTGTTCTCGTGAAGTGCCAGGAGCTCTGAAAGTGACTGCCGCAGCTGATCGACCATAGCAAACACCAACGTGGCTGAAGCTCGGCCACTTTGGCAGGTATTGAGCTAAAAGTTGATGCGTTCGAAGCTGAGGGTCATTCGCAACACGCACTCGGAGCGTGGCATCAAGGGCGACTTGTTGCTGCGACTTTGATGTCGGTTCTAGATTAGGGAGGTGTTTGTGCATCTCTTCAGTGTTTACCTTCGCCTCGGGGCGTTGCACCCCCAAGCTGGATGCTCCTCTTTGTCCATCAGCAGATTAAATCATCGGCTTGTACTGGGTCTGCTCCCGTTCCGTCTCCTCGGCTACATAAACCTCCTCCGGACTGCTTCACTCCCAGGACCACGACTCGTTGTCCGTCTCTAAAGCCTGCACGGAACAGGACAAGTTATTTCAGTTTGTTTCTCTGTCGACTTAAAATCATCTCCAGTCTCATCTACAAATGGAGTCAGTTTTATTAAACATATTTAAAGGTATTTTAAAACATTTTGAGAAACAGACGTCAGGTTCAGATCATGAATCTGGATAACTGCAGGTACAGTAGTCCCTCGCTACTTCGCGGTTTTTCAAAATAAGATTGGACATGACACAATTGGCTGATTGATGGATGAGCCATGGGTTGTTTATTTAAAATAAATTATTTTAAATGATTTTGCACCATGTGTGTAGTCCACAAGTGCAGGGGAAAGCTCCCTCCTGCAGCTGATCAGCTGATCACCTCTGCCACACACACACGTCTCCTGCCGCAGCTTTGTGAAGAGTTAACCCTTTGCTGTCCAGATGCACCGATCAACTTGTCTTCCAACTTAAAATTCAAAGTATGTCACATCGTAAAAATCATCATAATCACAAAATATAAAAGTGTTAAAAGTTATTTTAATTATTTTAGAACTTCTGTGTCCAGTTGTTTCAGTGTAATTGATCAAAAAGTACATTTCTGCCCCGTGCTGCAGAGCTGAAGCTGCGTGACATCCCTTTGCTGTCCTGCTGCACTTCTCTTCTCTACAATGTAAATACTGTAACATTTTAAATAATCAATCCAGTCTGCATGGATTGTTTATTTAAAATGTTACAGTATTTAAATTTAAATTGTTTATTTAAGGAGGGAGATTGGGAGTAACAGGTGATGCAGCCTGGCACATGTCATGACAAAGTTTACTGAACTTGAACCACTGTATCCTACTTTGCGAGTTTTCACTTATCACAGGTGGGCGTGGTCCCAAACACCCGCGATAAACGAGGGACTACTGTACTGACTTCCATTTTGGTGTGTGGCTGCATCTACGGTTAAGAAAGGTTCCTTTCACGTCAAAGTCCAAGATGGCCACCAACATTTGTATCTGTAAACTGACCACCACCATCATTTGAGGAAACTCTGCTTTCTAGTGTTTGAATTTGCTTTAAAGTAGTTTCCTTAAATGACTGGGGTGAAGATTAATCTACGGTGGCCACCGTTGGCCACCCTTTGGCTCGGTCATGGCGCCTGGTGGTGGATAAAACTGCTCCCTCCACTCACCAGGATCCGTCACTCTGTGCCGCCTCTGACAAAAACAAACAATTAAATAAAAATAAACACTGCTGTTCTCCACAGTGTGACTTCTACCCACTTGAATATCTTGCACCACAAACATTTAGGTTTACTCGCATACCCTGTTCAGTTCCCATCCAAAACAACACTCGTCTGGAAAACGACAAACATCCACTGTCCAGATCCCTCAGCGACGGGGACGTCGGCGTTCAAAGTGGTGTTTGTGCAAACAACGAGAAAATAATCCGGGTTTGTTGTCCTGTTCTGTTTCAGCGCCGTTTGGTACGACCAGACGTCCTACCCCATGTCCTGGCAGCTGGACCCCACTGAAGGTCCGAACCGGGAGCGACGACGGCTGCAGCGGTGCTACCTCACCATCCCGAATAAATACCTGCTCAAGGACCGACGCAAGCCCGAAGGTGGATAAACTGTCTTTGGCAGAACGTAGTCGAGCTTTTTCCTCCTCGATTAATTTGATCTCCATGTTCAGACTCGGTGAAGCCGCCGCTGTCCTTCCTGTTCGAGGACAAAACCCACTCCTCGTTCTCCTCCACTGTTAAAGACAAAGCCACCAGCGAGTCCATCAGGTGTGGACATTTTGTGACTCAGACGTTGGACAAATAAATGTCCGGCAGACGTCACCAGGTGCTTGTGTTTTATTGTTTTAAATGTTTGCGTCCTCAGGTTCACCAGACGGTGCACCAGTGTCGCCCCCTCCAGAGAGACGGCCGGCGAGCTCCTTCTGGGTGAGACCCTGACCGTCCCTCACAAGAATAACCTCACTAATCTTACCTCCTCGTGTTCGTCTCCTTGTTTCTGAACTGAATCTGTGTCTGCGCCGCCTCGCAGGGAAGTCCGGCATGTACTTCGTGGAGGACAACGCCACAGACGCTCACGACAGCCAGGTAAACCCCGTTAGTTGTCGTCACGGCGGTACTCGCGGCGAACGAGCCCCTCAACCCCGTTTGTGTCCGCAGAGCCTCCACGGGGAGACGGAGGCTCCTTCTTTCTCCTGGACTTACGAGGAGATCAAGGAGGTGCACAAGCGATGGTGGCAGCTCAGAGACAACGCCGTGGAGATATTCCTCACCAACGGCAGGACGCTGCTCTTAGCGTTCGACAACACCAAGGTGAGGCCGAGGAAACCGTGTCTACTGAAGGTTTCACATCATCCCCGACCGAAGACGACCTTTACCCTTCCTCTTTTTATCCATCACATTTAAATATTAACAGACATGGACTGAATTTAAAAG